TGCAGTTTCTCTCTCTCTCCTGAGACTCGGTATTGCAGCCATTCACAACTTAAAGAGCATGATTTATTCATCCCCCAATATCATGAGAACCAAAATGGATTGAGTTCATTTGAAATGCAGATGTGTCTGCACTGTAATTACAAGTGCCCTTGTGATTTTTACCACGAAGCGCAGCCCTCAAGTGGAAATGAGAAAGATGTGGGCCACAACAGCAATGAAATATTTTGGCCCAAGACTGAAGCGAGTTTTAAAATACACACAAAGAGGGGCGCCTGGGTGGCTCAGTCGGTTAAGCGTCCGACTTCGGCTCAGGTCATGATCTCACAGTTCGTGAGTTCGAGCCCCGCGTCGGGCTCTGTGCTGACCGCTCGGAGCCTGGACCCTGTTTCGGATTCTGTGTCTCCCTCTCTCTGCCCCTCCCCTGTTCGTGCTCTGTCTCTCTCTGTCTCAAAAATAAATAAACGTTAAAAAAATAATAAAATAAAATAAAATACACACAAAGAAGAGCGGGAAACACACGAGGAACAGACTTGGCTAACATAACTTTTTTTCCTTCCCTCTGATAAATACCTTGCTTTAGACCCCATGAAGGGACATTCGTGGTGACCACAGGCAGAGAAGGTAAAGGGGACATATTAATTATCCTGTGGAAGGTGTCTTGTTCAAGAGACTGCAGAAAGCTGGTGAGCATTTCTGAAGGCTTCTCAGAGGCACAAAACTAGCTATGATTCACGGAAAATGGCATTTGCTTTAGCGAAAATGCCACACCTCCTTTTGAGAGACGTGAGCTACTTAAGTAAGACACGATTGAATCCTGGGGCACCCTCAAGACTCACATCCACATACAGATTACATCCCACGTTGTACCCTTGTCAGAGGCCATTTCTGAGACACACACACACACACACACACACACACACACACACACACAAACCCACACGCAAAACACCATTTGTTAGAAATATCTTTAGGAGACCATGATAGCATCACTTTCCCCTGGGACCTTCCAGAGAGCAGTGGTTTAAATCTTAGTTTTACCCACCAGCTGTGCCACCTGGCACGAATTACCTAATTTTTCTCCTCATCAGTTCCCTCCTCTACACAATGGGCGTAATGATATCTACCCCATGCGATGCCAGAAGGCGGAATGCCTGTGAAAATAAAGTCTACACAAGTGTCAGTTGAGTTTACCATTGGGCACAAAGCATATTTATACAGCAGAATAGCAGAAATCCCAGGCACAGAGTGAACGGGCCCACGGTAGACCCCTCCTCCTCTTTCACTCTTGATCTTGTCGACAAGTTCTTTTACAAGTTACAGTGTCCAGGCTCCACCCTGACCAAGAGCAGGAGGGCAACAGCATTAAATGCCTTTGCTCAGTTGGGGTATTGAATTCTTGGGTGGGCTGTTGCCTTTATGGCAGGGGACAGGTCCCCAAACCAGAAGTTCCTTCGGTTTCACGTGGCCTTCTTCTTTAGGGGAGCCTCTAATACGAATGTTCCTGGGTCGTGGGACAGGTGGATATTTGCTAGCAGGGACGACAAGGAGGAGAGTTCGCCATTGCGGGAAACTCTGTGATCAACTTTGCCCAAGAAAAACCTGAATTGGCCTGTGTACTGTGCCCCCTGTGAGAGTCAGGGAGGCCCCTACCCTATCCATGTCTGATACATTTGACCCCGGCCCCTTATCACGGTAATTAAACAGGGGGTGGAGGGCTGCCTTTCCCAAAGCCAGCCAAGTGATAAGCCAGCCTGTGACCTGTAGCTCGATCCCCCTTATGAATGGCACGTCAGTCCCGAACATTTGAAACGACCCTCCAATTCCCACGTTGTTCTCAGGAGAATTGTTTCTTCCAAGCAACTGCTGCCTGATCTTAGTTTGCTCTTGAGTCTCAAACTATGTGCATTCTTTTTTTTTTCTTTTTTAATGTTTATTTTTGAGAGAGAGAGAGAGAGAGAGCATGTGCGAGAGTGGGGGAGGTGCAGAGATGGGGGAGGGATCCAAAGCAGGCTCTGGGCTGACAGCAGAAAGCTCCATGTGGGGCTCGAACTCAAGAACTTCAAGGTCATGACCTGAGCTGACTTCGGATGCTTCACCGACTGAGCCACTGGGTGCCCTGTTGTGTACATTCTTTAAGACCTCTGGTCATGGTAGTCCAGTTTGCCTAACAACTCTGTTACTGTGCCCTGAGACATTGATATTTTGAGTGTGTAGGATCCATAATAGTGACATGTGAATTACCGATGCTTACAGTGTAACCGTTGATCAACCCCTGAAGATATTGTGACCTAGCGTCTTCTTAGGAAAAACTTGCCTGAAAAGTTTAAGCTGGAATGTCATTAGAACCACGGTTTAGGGGGCGCCTGGGTGGCGCAGTCGGTTAAGTGTCGGACTTCAGCCAGGTCACGATCTCGCGGTCCGTGAGTTCGAGCCCCGCGTCAGGTTCTGGGCTGATGGCTCGGAGCCTGGAGCCTGTTTCCGATTCTGTGTCTCCCTCTCTCTCTGCCCCTCCCCCATTCATGCTCTGTCTCTCTCTGTCCCAAAAATAAATAAAAACGTTGAAAAAAAAAAAAACCACGGTTTAGAAAAAAACTACAGGCGGGGCGCCTGGGTGGCTCAGTCGGTTAAGCGTCCGACTTCAGCTCAGGTCATGATCTCGCGGTCCGTGAGTTCGAGCCCTGCGTCGGGCTCTGTGCTGACCGCTCAGAGCCTGGAGCCTGTTTCAGATTCTGTGTCTCCCTCTCTCTCTGACCCTCCCCCGTTCATGCTCTGTCTCTCTCTGTCTCAAAAATAAAATAAACGTTAAAAAAAAAAAACAAAACTATAGGCTCCTTATATGTTTGGCACCTGCATTAGGAATTGTGTACAAATTCTTCATAATGTCTGTGCATTGACCCTCAGAACAACCAATAATTCTCAATTATGGGAGTGCCTGCGTGGCTCAGTCGGTTGAGCAGCCGACTCTTGATTTCAGCTCGGGTCATGATCCCAGGGTCTTGAGATTGAGCCCCATGTTGGGCCCATGATGAGCTGATGAGCATGGGGCCTGCTTGGAATTCTCTCTCTCTCTCTCTCTCTCTCTCTCTCTCTCTCCCTCTGTCTCTTTCCCCCGCTACCACTTTCTCTCTCAAATAAAAAAATAAATAAAATTTAAAAATTCTCAATTACGAAAGGAAAAAAGGATCTGAACGGACACCCAGGCACCACACCGAGCAAGGCATACAGGTGGCCAAAGAAAGCATGCGAAAAGCTTCTCAACATCACCTGTTGTTAAAGGTACTGCAGATTAAAACAACAATGAGATCCCACTACACACCCGTTAGAATAGCTCCAAGTCTGGAAAACTGGCAGGCCCACATCCTAGCAAGAATGAGGAACTCTCGTTCCTTGTTGACCCTCTCTCTCTCTGAGACACAATATTGAAATCAGGCCAAGTAATTCCCCTACAGTGGCCTCTAAGTGTTCAAGTGAAAGGCAGAGTCACACGTCTCTCACTGTACATCAAAAGCTAGAAATGATCAAGCTCAGTGAGGAAGCCTTGCCGAAAGCTGAGACAGGCCAAAACCAAAATCAAGAGTCGAACGCTCAACTGACTGAGCCACCCAGGTGCCCCCGGAATTGAACACTGATTTCAGTGAGTGGATGGGAGTTGATGGGAGCTAGGTTTCTCAGCGTTGGATAGAAAGTTACAGACAAGCAAGGGGCAGAGGCTGGATATATATATATATATATATATATATATATGTATATATATATATATGTATATGATCTACATTATAAAATATACATATGATATATATAACTGTATCTTTATAGAGGTCTCTCTCTATTTCTATATGTGTGTGTGTATGTGAGATACATATAGCCTGTGTCAGAATCCCCCCCCTTTTTTTTTAATTTATTTGAGAGAGAGAGAGAGAGAGAGAGAGACAGACAGAGACAGAGTGCGAGTGGGGGAGAGGCAGAGAGAGAGGGAGACACAGAATCCGAAGCAGGCTCCAGGCTCCGAGCTGTCAGCACAGAGACCGCCATGGGGCTTGAACTCACGAACCATGAGATCATGACCTGAGCTCAAGTCGGACGCTTAACCGACTGAGCCACCCCGGCGGCCCCAGAATCCCCTTCTTTTTTTTTTTAAGGCTGAATAATATTCCATTCCGTTCCATTCATCTGTTGATGGACATTTGATTTATTTCTGCCTTTTGAGTGTGAATAATGCTGCTGTGAACTTTAGTCATTTTTATTTTTAATTTTTATTTTAATTTTTTGAGAGAGAGAGAGAGAGAGAGTACAAGCTGAGAAGAGGGGCAGAGGGAGAGAGAAAGGATCTTAGCAGGTTCCACACTCAACACAGAGCCCAACGTGAGGCTTGATCCCATGACCCTGGAATCATGACCTGAGCTGGAACCAACAGCCAGATGCGTCATGCACTCAGTCACCAAGGGGCCCCTAAACGTTTTTAAATTGACAAATGTGGGGTACAAGGTAGAGAAATGTAGGACGCAGTATGTGGACGTTAGTGGGACAGGGGCTACTTGAATCCCCATGTAGAGAGAGGGCATCTCAGGCCAGACTGCACCAGTAATTTGGCAGAGAACTTGGCCCCTGACTCCCATGGCTGACAGAGACTTGGATTCCCGGTGAGCTCTGGCTGGAACTTGTCCTTGTTAGCAGGGACTTGAAACGTGTTTCTCTCTGCATTTGAAGAGGCCGTGCAGAAATAGGGGTCTCCTAATTCTCGAGCTTTGGGGCATATGCCCTTCCTGCAGAAGTTGTGTGTCCACGACGGTGGCTTTGTGTCCAGTGGGTCCTTAGGAAATTTGCCAAGTGATTCACTGAATGACTGATGTGTTCACCGAGTTAGTGAGGAAAATGACACACCCTGGGGTGGGGGGCAGGGTATGAATGTATGAATGTGTCAGATGGATTCCGTACTGGAGGAAGATTAGCTGATACCCAAGAGAAGAAAAAGAAGTATCTGATGGACCATACAGCATTCAGGGGACCCCTCTCCTCGTTACTGATATTTTCTATTTGCTACCAGCCTTCTTTGGAATGCCTTTTTGAGAAGGAGATGTCACATGTAGTTTTGATTCTTAGACGGGGTCATAAGATGCCTTCTATGAGAACGAATACTGAGGCATCCGGTGGCAAGGAGTGAGGGTCTCCCCTGTAGGAAGCGTACAGAGAAGGATCTAACATTTATGGACTGGTTGCAAGGTGAGAGCCAATGGCTTGGTTCACAGGGACGGCTTTTTGCACTGGGTGTAGTTCGGGGGGAGGGTGGGGTGGGTGAAGTACCTTAGAAAGAAAAGTGAGAACATAAGTTTATGCACCCAATCTGAGTTTTGAGAGAGCTTGGAGTTGGGCTTTGTTCTGGAGGCCAGGTGTGGCCTTGCCTCAGGGTGGGTGTGGCAAGGGTGGGCAGATGTGGATGGTTGTGGGAGGTACAGAGCTCAAGGGGCTCAGTGTGTTCTTTGGCTTGGCCCTTGGGTGAGTGACAAACGGATTGCAGAACAAGTGCTGTCTCCCTCCTCTTGGCAGGTGGGTGTGTAGCCTGTGGGTTGGACCAATGTGGTCAAGAAAGTCTTGCAAATGGGCAGTCAGAGGCGATGGTGCCTCAGGGCCTGTTGGCAGCACCAGAGGCCAAGGTGAGTTGATAAACGTGAGGAATTTGCATACCAACGAGGCCAGGAGCATCACCAACTAGTTGGAAAGTATACTTTGGGAATGAAACGTTCATCAAGCCCAAATCCTTCCAGTTGTCAAGCAGTGGGAGAGTATCAGGAGAGACAGAGGAACGGCCTTTGCTCTTAATCAGTCTTGGTCATCTTATGATCCATAAGCCCCTCCCAGGAGCCCCAGCATTATTCCAGATAGATTCAGACTTTTCTTGACATCTAGGAATTGACCACATTGAATAGGTGTGTTCCACGTCTTATATCAATGGTTCGGAAATGCTAACAATCCCAGCCAACGTTGACGATCTAGTCACTTTTCTCTGTCCTTTCACTACTAGCCCAGTGCTACATACGCTAAAAGCTGATGCCTGAACCGTCTTCTAAAAACGAATATCTGATTGTGTCTCTCTGCTCTTACAGCCTTTCATCAGCTTTCCCCGGCTCAGAAAATAAAGGCAAGTTCCTTGACATGGCTGGTGAGGTCTTGCCTGGTCTGGCCCCACCTCCTTCTCCAGCCTCACTGCCCAGCCGGGCCCCCTCGCCCTGTCTTTCAGGCTCTCGTATTTGCCAAGCCCTCGTCTGCCACAGGGACATTGCACATGCTAGGTTTCCTGCCTGGAATGATCTTCCTCTTTGTATCTAGTTAATTCTTATTCACCGTGACTCAAAGGTCACTTGCTCAAGGAAGCTTTTTCTGATCGCTCTGACCAATTTAAATACCCCCATTATGGGCTCTCAGGGAACCACGAGCACTTGCATTTAGAAACGATTGCAATTGTGTATTTATTTATGTATGTTTTTTATTGGTGTTTGTCTCTCTTCCAAACTGTTAGCTCCGTAAGGGCGGAAGCAATATTGCTTTTGCCCATCGTTGTATCTCAGTGCCTGTTATTCCCTCAACAAATATTTATCGAGCACCTGCAAACGTGACAGAAGCTGCTCTGGTGCTCAAGATACTCGCATGAACAAAATGGAGGTCCCGCCCCCCATGGAGGGTGCTTTTTAGCACAGATTAGTCTACTAATATTAGCTTCATAAAATTCATCAATAGTTACCATGTACTAGGGCACTTGCTAAGTGCTTTTCATGAATTACCTCACTTAATCCCCTCAAAATCTGATTTTTACCTTTTTAAAATTCCTCTTCTTTCAGCTGTTAAAAATGGAAACTTGAGTCTCTCAAGCCCCTCATTTCACGGCATATTATTGCTAGCAACCTGCTGGACTCTTCCTCGGTTCACGGATTGATTTTCCTTTATCCCCTATTTCTGCTCCTGTAATGCACTCTTCTATACCTGAAACAATTCTGGTGGATCTTTTTGCTTGAATGTATTTTTCAAAAATGAAGTTTGCCACTTTGATGTGTCTTTATTGACGTGTGATGAATTTTTAATTTCCACAAAATTTGTATGTTATATATTTCTTTTCCCCATTGGCACTGCTCTTAAGATCTATCCATATTGTATCCATCTAATTCCCCAGTTCTAACTGCTGTCTAGTACACTGTAAAATGCATTTAATACACTGCACCCCTCCAGTTCTTAGAGATGAACAACCACATTTCCATCAACGTAATAAATGTGTGATTTACACAATGAACACACTCATACATTTCTCCTTAGGTATGTAGAGACAAAATTAAACACCTGATGAGCGGCAGAACAAGAAGTTTCATGCAGCTACAATTTCTCACACCTAGAATTGGTGTGAATAGCAAATATTAATGATAGAAAACAAACTGAGGGTTGATGGAGGGAGGTGGGTGGGGGGTGGGCTAAATGGGTGATGGGTATTGAGGAGGGCACTGGTGATGAGCACTGGGTGTTGTATGTAAGTGATGAATCACTGGGTTCTATTCCTAAAACCAATATTTCATTGTATGTTAACTGGAATTTAAATAAACATTTGAAAAAAAATCATGTAAATATTACATACTAATTGTGGAAATGTAATGATAAAACTTTCTAAAACATTAAATGGTACCAATTGGACACGTTTAATAGATAAGGAATTAGAATGTTTGAACTGTGCTTACAACCAAAGAACAAAGGGGAGGCAATAGTATCCAAGTACATTTGGCACTAGATCTTTACTATGCAAGTAGGGAATCCAGAATGTTTCTTAGTTTCAATGGAAGCCTCTTCCATGGGTCTACTGTTAATGGACACAAAGAGCATATAAAGTGCATCATATCTACCATAGCCCAAATCAGACAGGTTCGCTGCATTCTGGCCATGCAACAATATAGTGGAGTTTCATGTAGAGTATTGAACATGACGACATCTGAGATTCTTTACCACTTTAAGATGTCCTTGTTTAACTTGTGAGTCTATAGGCTGACTGTTTCACTTGATATTGTGAAAAGAGATTGAAGACACAGCTGCTGCTCTCAAAGAACTCAAGGTCTAGTTAGGAGACAGACAATAAACACCTAATTAAATATGGCAGGATCTTTGCATTACCATGAAACCACACAGATCTTTATCATAACACAGAAATGAGATTACTCAGGCCAGGAAAACAGAGTCAGGTTTCCCTATGGAGGGTGATGCCTGGAAGGAGGGGTAGCAAGTGTGTATGCAGACAAGGAGGAAGACATGCCCTGTGTCTGAAACTGTACATGCCAAAGTACACAGGTGAAGTAACAAATGATTTTATTTTATTGAAAAATAAAATAATACTCTTCAATAGCATTTACAAAACCAAATATCTAGGAGTGAATTTAATGAAAGATAAGCAAGAATTTTACCCTGGAAACTGTAAGCATTTTTGAGAGTAATTAAAGAAGATATAAACAAGTGGAGAGATATACCATATTCATGGATTAGAAGAGTCAAGGTTTTAAAATATTAATTTGCTCTAAATTGATCTATAGTCCCAATGGAGTGTCTACCAAAATTACAGCAGGTTTGGGGGGAAGAAATAGAAAATCTAATCCTAAAATTTTTATGGAAATTCAGAGGAAGTGCCAGAAGTGCCAAAATTATCTTGACAAAGTGGAAGCGTGTGGAGGAACTTACACTACATGATTTCAAGACTTGCTATAAACCCAATAATCAAGCAGCATGCTATTGCATAGGAATAGACACGCAGGTCAATGGAGCAGAAGGGAGAGTCCAGAAATAGACCTATACTTTTGCAGTCAACTCATTTTAGACAAGGGCACCAAAATAATTTAGCGGTGACAGGAAAATCTTTCAACAGATAGTGCTGGAAATACTGAATATTCTTATGAGAAAAAAAACAACGTCAACTCCTGTCTCACTGAACAAATAAAACAATAATTTGAGATGAATCAAAAGTCTATATGAGAAAAACAGAACCACAAATCTTCTAGAAGAAAAGAGAAGAGAAATTCTTTGCAACCTTCAGTTAGATGTAGAGTGTTGAGACAAGACACAAAAATGACAAACCATAACAAGAAAGTAACTGATGAAGTGGACTTCCTCACAATTAAAAATTCCTGCCCATCAAAGTTACCATTCGGAAAACGAGCAGACAAACCACAGATAGGGAAAATCTATTTGCAGAACATATATCCAGAATATATTATTAACAAATTAATTAATGGGAAGGTAAACAACTCAGTTTTTTAAATGGACAAAACATTGGACAGATGCTTCACAAAAGATATACGGAAGTGGCCCGTAAGTACATGAGAATGTACTCAGATATACTCAGGTTATTAATTGTCAGAAAAATGCAAATTAAAAGCACAATGAGATACTGTTACACACCCACCAAGAATGGCAAAATTAAGACAACAACAACAATGACAATACCAAATGTTAGTGGGGGTGTGGAGAAGTTGGACTCTTGTCTACGATGATGGAAGAGTCAAACAGTACAAGCAGTTTGGAGAACCATCTGGCAGTCTGTAATAAAGTTAAGCATACAGCTTCCCCATGACCCAGCAATTCCACTTCTAGGCATTTGCCCAAGAGAAATAAATGATTTTCCACAAAAAGGCTAGCATAAAAATATTCTTAAGGAGTCTTATTCATGATAATCTCAAACTGAAAACACCTCAAATGTCCATCAACAGAAAAGTCGATTTTTAAATGGTGCCATATTCACACAATGGAATACACCCAATAATATTTTCAATTCCATTCCATTTATGAAGTTTCAGAACAGACAAAACTCATCTGTGGAAATAGAGGTCAGAAAATGGTTGCCTCTGGGTTGGGGGATGGTTGATTGACTGGAGAGGGACACGAGAGACCTTTCTAGAACACTGGAAATGTTTGGTATCTTGCCCTGCATACGTTAATTGTCAAAACTCATTGAACTGATCCCTTAGGATTTTTAAATTTTATTGTATGTTAATTATATCAACAGGAAGGGAAAGAGGGAGGGGAGGAAGGGGAGAGGCAGGCATCCAGGCTGGCAGGCACAAGGTCTGCAGAGACTCTCGAGTGATTGCTTATGCCTAGAACGTTGGTGCCTTGCTGGGAATGGGTAAGAAGGGAACCCTGCCTCTGCTCACAAGGCCCAAGGTGAGTATGACCTTTCTCCCACTCGGGAAAGAAAGAGGAAGCCTGAATGATTCTGTGCAGCCGAATGACATTTGTGCCTTAGAAAGGTCACCTTGACGATAGGTGCTATCTGCTATGACCAGGCGGATGTTCCGGGACATAATCTGGAGATTCCAGCTGGTTACAGTGGTACAAGCGATGTTATTTTTAACTTCCCCAACAGGAGGGAAGAGCATTTCTCTGGTTGCTAGGAGAATCGTGTTCTTAGCAGTTGCATTGGTTCCTAATTTTAAGTCTTGGGGGAAAGAAAAGTCTTGGGGGAAACTAGAAAACTTTACGAGCCAGTACCGGTATGCCGTGCCAGGACTATGCACCTGCTAGAGTGTGGGCTATTTTTCTTTTAGTGTATTCATGAGTGACTGTCACCATAGCAACAGCGATGCTAGACAATGCTGGGTCATTAATGGAGAAATCCTGCTGGCTGGGTGGTGAAGGTCAGTACAGGAAGCCTTGTTCAGGACCAAAGGCAAGTGTTAGAACAGATGGGATACCCTGATAGCTACCAGGGTAAGGGGGGCGGGGGGGAAGGTTGTAGGCAGAGGGTAATCTGACAGGTGCATAGGTTTACTAGCAGCCCATCAGGGTCATATTTCCTATGGAGCAAAATCTCAAATCCTCTTGGCATTGGGATAAACCTTAGTGTGGTTTCTTGGGTATAGTACATTTGTCCAGACTCAACTATAGAGAACAAACTGAGGGTTACCAGGAGGGAGGTGGGTGGGGGGATGGGTAAAGTAGGTGATGGGGGTGAAGGAGGGCACTTGTCTTGATGAGCACCAGGTGACGTATGGAAGTGTTGAATCCCTATATGTACCCCTGACATTAATATTACACTGCATGTTAACTCACGGGAATTTAAATAAATACTTAGAAACATAAAGTGCACGTTTGTCAAATCAAAGACCTCATGGTGGCAGTAAGAAAGAGAAGCATCCCAAATTGCCTTCTGGCTTCGGAGTTTTGGCTTTCTCATAATCTCCATCAGTACCCAGCTTCATTTAGTGGCATGGACAATTGACCTAAATCTCTTCTGAAGTGTTTGTGAGACATAGGTTCGCGACCTCCTCTCATCCCCATAGAAAATACACAGGACTGGGGCGCCTGGGTGGCTCAGTCAGTTAAGCATTTGACTCTTGATTTCGGCTCAGGTCATGATCTCACAGTTCGTGGGTCCGAGCCTCACGTCAGGCTCTGCACTGGCAGCGCGGAGCCTGCTTGGGATGCCCTGTCTCGCTCTCTCTCTGTCCCTCCTCTGCTCATATACTCTCTCGCGCGCGCGCTCTCGCAAAATAAATAAACATTAAAAATAAAAATAAAAGAACCTGATGCTGGTGGTTCTTTGGACCTGGTGCTCAGGACCACCCTCTGGCAGAGCACAGGGCTGTGTCTCAGCATCCCTGACTCATTTCAATCCCCAATACAACGCTCTCTGCACCTCACCACTGGGAAGCAACTTCGGCAGCTTTTCAGTGTCGTCCGGAGGTGATTCTGTGATGAGATGAAGAGTCCTCCCTTTTGTTTTGGTTTTCAACCTGTGTGTGCAGGTGGGGATGAGGGGCACCGTCTTTCTACCCCGCTCCAAGGCGGGCCCCTCTCCCCCACTGCAGGTCAGAAGAGAGCCTCCAGAAATTCCCTAGACCAGCACGTCTCACCATCTTTTTCCCCACTGGGTCACACGGGACGGATGGGGTCCCCATGGGTGGTGAGACTCAATGGATGCACTTAGATTTTGATGAAACGGCCAAAAAATTGTTTGACGAAAGAAAGGACTGCGATGATGCATAGTCGTTAGCACCATCTTGGGTCTCTCGGGGCAGGGGGGCAGGCTTGTTG